AGTCATACTTAAGTTCTGCCTCCTTGATTGTGGTCATGCTGTCTTCATCAACCATGTGGATCTTTTCTTTCAACCCTAGGCACAGACCATGTAAGTATCTCATCTTCTTCTTATGATGAGTATCCGCCAACCCATCTTCAAAGTAGAGTAATCGAACAAACTTGATGGTGTACTTAGTAACTGTCATGTTCTCCTGCTTAAGGTTGGCGAATTCATTATTCTTTGGCCTGATAAAAGCTTCGGGAAGAAACTCTATCTTAAAGGCCTTCAAGAACTCCTCCCAAGTGAACTGAACTCGTTCACATTAACTCTAGAGACTGAGGACCACCAGCTCCTCGCATACCCCTTTAGGAGAAAACCAACATATTGTACTTTTTCCTCTAGGGTCACATAAAGATACTCAAACACATCTTCCATCTCTCTCAACCACTCTACTACAGCATCTGGGCTCACATCTCCCTTGAAGTCCCTACCACCCAAACTCTTCATCTTTGCATAGTCTAATACTGGCGGTCTTGCATCAACCGCCCCCACTCCTCTCGACTGGTCAGTAGGAACATTTTCACAACTTCCATGCGAGCTACAAGGAAATATTGGCCTTAGATTGATCCACACAAAATTCATTCTTCACCCACTCTCTCACATGGTTAAAACAAAATTTTCCCAAAATAATTACTGGAAAACATAGAAGTTCAAAACTCAATTTTGAAAACCATGATGTAGATAATTTCATCCAACATACCAATACACATAATCATGTCAAACTCAATTCCCAGTTTAAGTCATTATGGGGTACTCCCCTCCTTAGGAGTGTTTAACCTCCCATAGGGTATAGTACGCCATAACAGCAAAAAGAGGGAACCGGGCTCTGATACCAAACTGTAACACCCTACCCTATATGTTTTGCCTAATCATATTGTTCATACAATTGCAGCGGAATTATTCTCGGGTGTTACATTAATTATCAAAATTTTACCCAAATAAAATTTCGACATGAATTGCTTGCGTAATGGGCTAACAGTTCTTGCAACTTATTTTGCAAAATAATTCATCACAAACATATATACTCACAACCATATGCATTGGCTTTTCTTAGCCATAGTCACACTTTTCATACTCCAGAACTGCATACCATACTTATACATACCATAATCGTCAAAACTTACACAGTTACACAACATATACACATATCATCAACTTTCCACACCTGTGGATATCTCACACTACATCAAAAACTAGTATGCACATGAAAAACGTTCTCGAAATTTTTTTTTCTTACAAAAAGGTGTGCATCACTGGCAAAAATCCCAAGTAGTCGTCCAAGCACAGAATAGTTGAAGACCATACCTCATCTTGGCTTCAACTCTAGCTCCTCTCCCACCTAACACTTATCTACTGCTGCTGCTGATGATCTACTTACACATAGCATAAGCAGAGAAGAAGAATAAAAGAGGGTTAGCTCATAGCTGAGTGAGATAATCATAGCATCGTGAGTTCATAACAGGGCATACCCCTATCATACATCTAACAATCAAGCCAAAACACTAGGATCGGACCTCAGCCATCCTCATATCCCAATAGGCAAAAGACTTAACCACCTTGACTTATGCATATGCATCTTATCATGTTTTAATCATAGGCGCCTGGCTACTCCCATGCTAATTACTCTCCCGGGAATACGTGCCAAACATCTCGTGGATGTGGTCATACCGGACCCACCACTACCGGTGTAGTCATATCGGACCGGACACCACGCTGGGTTTGGTCATATCGGACTCAACACCACTCTGGGTGTGGTCATATCCCATGATGAATCAACGGTCAACACCACATCAGGGGTGTGACATAACATATCATAACGGAGTAATAGCATGGGGAGCCCTAATTACTATGTAATTGACCATGAGACCAAAGTACTCTTACTTGGTATCCTTATCCATGATCCATATCTCATCTTGCTTAATCATAATTCGCTACTTGCACATGTACTTGACCTGGCCACAATTGACTCAACATAGGTAAATCAGGAGTCGTATAATTGCACTTCCTCGGGATAAACCCTCGTGCCAGTCATCCTCCTTAAACGTCATAATATCACCAGGGAATATATATTTTCCCACATGTGCATCCAAATACAACAATCATGAAAAATTATACCCAATCACGAACAGTCATAAGGCATATCAACTGTCAAGCCCAAAATTTGCAACATATACGAAATCATCAGTATAAACAAGGTCCATAATGATTTGGGCAAGACAATAATATCATACAACATTCCAGGGTTTAGCATATAGAATAAAAGACCATACACCCCTAATCATGCCATTCTAGTTCACCTAGGTCAATTCTAAGCATAAGTATAATTATCGTGATACGATAAACCCGGTATGCCGTGCTAATCCCTCACCAGTTCTAGTCGTTCAAACACCTGTTTTTGCCTCCCGTACTAAAACGTCAATTTCACGAACGAACTCCGAATTAAAATCCAAGACCGTCCTAATATCCCCTGCAGTATCCCCATCAATATTAGTTCTAGGCTCCGGGTCAAATTCTTGATAAAAACACATCAAACCCTGGCCGGAGCTAAATTCAGTGATCTCGGCTCTGACCTAAATAATAGCCGAAATTCATGGATTAAAACTAGAGGATTGATTACCTCACTGCAGGAAGCTCGTATATGAAATTTGAGCTCAATCCGGCTTCCGGATAATCCGAAACCCTAATTTGGCTTATTGGGAATTCAAGAAATTCCTGAACCAAGCTCTAAATCGATAAATCACGATGTATGGATGAATTAGGCATTACTTACGGGATTTTTGGATCACTAGAGCTCAAGAATTGAGCTCGGAGAATTTGTTTTACTCCCTCCCCTGCGCGCCCTCTGCTTCTCGGATTCCGCGGCCCAAATTAATGGAACATAAAGAAGATGATGGAATAATGGACGGGGAAGGGGAAATGTTTATATATATGCGGCCCGGCCGCTTATTGTAATTATATATATAATATGTACGTATACTGATCGGATCGATCGATAATCCAATTTTTGTCGAAATACTATCAAAACACTCGATTTTAAACCGTGAAATTTCTAGCAACCGTAATACGAGAAACGGGATGTTACACACTTACTCAAGACAGTCACCTCATGCACAAAACTTAAGATATCAGAATTGACCGAGCAATCTAGGTCCTCACTGGGGTGAAGAGTATAGAGAATATGAGAAAATGAATCGCTCACTCTCGACTAGTGGGGTCAGAACAATTTGATGCGAAAAATGCGCATGCTTATTCTCTCAATCCCTAACGTCTCTTCACCATGAAGGAAGCCTCTAAATGTTAGAGTTCACATATGGGTTGTCACCACCAACTAATCCGGAGGTCTTAGACACAGGTTCAGATGACTGGCTTGGGTCTTGGACATGGGGAAAAGGCCTTTTAGGTGGTGGAAGTATTCTTAGCACAAGGTTCCACAGTTCCAAACCCAACACATTCACAACCAATCAAACCAGTACTTTCTTTCTGCCATTCTACATTACTCAAATTCTCTAGAGCACAAGAGCGAAGGAGGTCACATAAATGTTAGTATTTCCAAACCAGACTGCTAAGAAACACTACTTAATGAGCATGATTCAGAATTTTGGGTAGTGGCTCTCTTTTCCTTTCATTCATTTTGTTCTCTTTTTTTTCTTCATTTTATTTTTGATTTCTTGAGAGAACCACCACCTCTGCACATTTTTCAAACACATGTCCAATTTTTAAGCATTACCTCCAACCCTCACATTATTTTTAGCAGGAACAGCAGAGAACAAGCAAAAACCACTCTGTGGAACCTTCTAAGAGATGCAAACAGGTGATTTTCCATTGTAGACCGAAAGAAAGAAAAGTGCACGGATCAAAGGGCTCACTAGGGGGTATGACACACAGGGACAGTCAATTTGGTCATGGGCTAATCCTATGCCTCCATCATCTTAGCTAATGCCAACGTGAATGCTACACATCATGGAAGAGGGAACTATCGCACAAGAAAGAAACGAGCAGGCTCAAATCTCACATGGCTACCTATATGCTCTATCTCTCATTCTGATTCCCTAAACTAGATGCATAAACGACTGTCAAGAGTAGGGGTGGGCATCGGTTCAGTTCGGTCGAACCCGAACCGAAAGTATGCATACCGGGTCCCCTACTCCCTCCAATCCCCAAACCGAACTCGAACAAAAATTTATTTTGGTTCGGCCAATCCGAACCGGAATTATGTTGGTTCGGTCTGATTTACCCGAGAAAACTGAACATTCATTCACATTCTGCCTTGCCTTCTGCCCTTCCCACATTAAAACTCAAAAGCCACCCACTGTCAAATTAAATTACCCCCAATTCAGACCTCCCTCTCCCCAGACTCGACCATCTTCTCCTCTTTCTCTCCCTGACTCCCCAACCCAAAGCCCATAATCGATGGTCGAAGCTTCAATCTCCAGTCAGATTCAGAAATCTAACGAGTTACGCCGCATGCAAAGCCCAGAACTGGTGGTTGGAGCTTCAATCGTCGGTCAGGTTAAGATCTTTCCCTGCCTGCATGTGGTTGTCTGTGGTGCGATTGAAGAGAAGGGAAGAGAAGAGCTGCGTCGGTGATGCTAGCGTTGGCGTCGGCCGCGTCGACGGCGTTGGCGGCGGGTTACTCGATTCTTCCTCTGTGTGTTTTCTCCATTCTTCTTTCCTTAGGGTTAGAGCAGGTAGAAAGGGTGTAGAGAGACAAAAGTGTTTTTGGGTGGGCTTGGCATGTGAGAGGGTTGAAGGAATATTTAGGTGGGCTGTGATGGCATAAAGGGAAAGGTTTGGGCCAAGTGAGTGGGCTTCGGCCTGTGAGAGGGTTGAGGGATTGTGTTTGAGTGGGTTGTGATGGAGAGGGGGGAATGTTTGGGTCAAGTGAGTGGGCTTAACAACAAAATATGTGGGCTGGTTTAACTATTGGGTTTTTCGGTTCGGATTTTGGAAAATCGGTTCGGTCGATAAGACCTTGATTTCCGAACTAAGCACATATCTCTTCTGAATTCCGAACCGAACAGTTTAAATTCGATTTTGGTTTCGGGTTTGTCGGTTTCAGTCTGGCTCGGTTCGGGTTTACCAAACTGAATGCCCACCCCTAGTCAAGAGCAAGTGATCAATCCAAGTCACAGTTGGTAAGCAAACAGTTGGAAAAAAAAATGAACCCCTACACAATTCTACTGCACGTCTCAGTCATCATCATAGGTTGTCCTAGTTACATTCCAGTTGTCATGCATCAGTTCGAAAGCCATTCGATTAACCAATCAAGCCCATAGTGCCAATATGATCATGCAAACATCAGTACTTGAAGCCCTCAAATCTCGAGATTGGATAGCGGACTAGGCTCCAAGCACACAAACTCATCTAGCAGTCAACGACAGATAAACACCCCCCACACTTAAGCACGACGTTGCCCTCAATGGAGCAGAGGGAAAGACAAGGGGAAACGATTTTACCGGGAATACGGACTGTCGGTGGACTGGAAATGGGACCAGTCAGCCGGGCTAAAGTCATCAAAACACACTGGGTGATAAAAACCATAGTTCCAAGTGGACAAACCTAAAAAAACGAAAGAAAAACAAACCTTGGTGGGGTTGCCTCTCCACAAGAGCTTCTTTTACGTCTTAGCCGGACGGTGGCTCCTAAGTTTCGGTCCATTCTAGAACCTCCTTGAAGTTGAGGTTCTCATTAATAAGGTGGAGCCTCAAGTCACGAGCATGTGATGTGATAGGTGATGAAGATGGCTCGTGGCCTTGAGGAAGATGAAGTCTCCACTTTCGAGACCTTTCCTTCGTGTCTACTCTTGTCTCATTGCCCCAAACCAGATAAGATATATTCGATTGACCACCATCACATCCACCAAGAGGGATTGATGTTGATGTGGTCTTGGTCTGGCAAAGAGACACTGCAAATGGGTCATTGCCAAGCAGCTCCTCGAAGTTTGGTGGAGATATCACATGTAACATAGGGCCGGTGCAAGCCTCTTCCACCTGAACTTCATCCTCAGCCTGGACGCCAATTGCTTCCTCAACCCCCCTTCCTTCATCAGAATATGGTCTCTCCCCTTGGAAAAGATCAAGAACTTCCTCTTCTTTGCTTTCTTCCTCATCCTCCACAACTTCTTCCCTCACCCTTTCTCTCTCTTCTTCTTCTAGAACAGATTGGAGAGCAAGTCGCCATGTAATTTCTTCAATGAGATCATCTTGCATCTCCTCGCTCGGGCCCAACATGTTAGAGCAGAAATGAGGAAAGGTGTGATATGCAACCAGAGGACTTTCCTGATCATGATTATCATGGGAGTTCTCTGTGATAACTTCTGTATGCTCCTCAATGTCCCTGTAGCCTTTGTCATCCTCCACCACTTCTAGCGTGGTAGCAGAAAGGTGATCTTGAGAAGGATGTGAGCAAACTTTCTCCACCCACTTTGTTTGCTTCGCTGAACACTGAACAGTCTCCTCCATTTCATGGAGAAATGAGGGATCGGAAGGGCCAAGGGCTTGGATTTGAAGATCCATCTTGGAGCATGATCTCTCAGTATCTCGAGCAAACTGCTCCACGAGAAGCCCTAATTGTTTGTTCGGATCTTCCAATGAAGTGTAGCATGGCTCTGCAGAGTGGTCCGTGAAGGCCTCCATGGCTAACTCCAACCAGATGGCCCCTCTGGTTGTGGCAGGAACTCTTCTTGAAAAGGATACTGTTCTTGAGGTTCCCAAGGGTTTGGTTGTTCTCCATAGTAGGGGGGTAGGTACTGACATCCGAATCCATAGTCTTCTCCTCCTTGATTGCTCAAGGAAGTCTCGGGGTAATGCCACACAGATGGTGGTTGATACCCCCAATGGTTGGAGAAGCCATGAGGATCCATGTTTCAGATCTGCACCAACAAAAACATAACACCCAAGTGAAAAGCAAGGGTGGAAAAGAAAAAAAAATTAAAGTAACAGACTTTCACATTTCTACAATAACCTAGAGGGTCCCCGGCAACGGCGCCAAAAACTTGACTCGCTAAGACACAACACCAAACTGCGACCAAGTGTAATCGCAGTCCGGAAATGCAGTACAGGCAAGCTCTAATTGTCAACCCAGGGTCTAGATCTACTGCCTACTCCGTGTATATCTGTTATCTAGCAAACTAAGTTGAGTGATTGTGATTTTAACTAAAAGCAGTAAGAAAGCAGGAAATGGTTGGGGATAGAAAGCTGAGACAATAAGCACAGAACTCCACTACTGGAATTGGGTTCCAGTACAAAGCATTAGATTGATTAACTCTCGTATAACCAATCTACCACTACCGATTGATGAAGCTCTAACAACCTAATCAGATTCTATCTATCTCAGGTTGCAGCAGAAATCAAGAAAAGATTAACAGACTTCAATTGACTCAATGAATCATGCATCAATCGATTAAAATCAAACAGTATAACAATCCCAAGTCATTACAATCAAGATCCCTAACACATGGAACTAGGGTTCTTCATACCCAAGTGAGAGAAGGTTCTACTCCATAGAGAGAGAGAGAGAGGAAAACAGTAATTAGAGTATTCATACTCATAAAGATGAGGAAAATCTGCTCTGGGATGATGATCTTCACTCCTATGATGATCTCCAAGCTCGATTGATGAAACCCAGCTCCAAAATCACCTCTAGGATGTGTTCTTCGCACTTTCTCTCTCTAGGGCTCTGTTTTTGCTCCAAAATGTCGATTCTCCCTTCAAAAGACCTGAAATTGGGTTAAAACCCAGTTTTTCCCGATCACACGACCAAGCCACACGGCCGTTTGAAATCCCCAGCTGCCCGTGTGAAAGTGCAAAACGCCGCGTTTCATTAAAGTGGCTTCAGGTACGCTACACGGCCAAAACCACACGGCCGTGTGGATTTCCAGTCTGGCCGTGTGAGCTCCCTAGACTTTCCACACGGCCACAAGGGGTCCCCTACACGGCTAGTATGGCTTGCCCGTCCAAAATGGTGCCATACGGCCAAGTCACACGGCCGTAGGCGTGCCCGTGTGGAATTCCCAGCTTTTTCGTCAAACGTCCCAACTTCGTCCAATCGACCCCAAACTCGTGCCCAAACCTTCTTTCACGTACTAGAACCTGATATATCACAAACAAGAACAACCTAGCGTGAAATCAGCCTAAAACACGGGAGATGAGACTCAAACGGTACAAGAATGGTGGACAAAAACATGTGTAAATATCAAGTCATCACTCGTGTTTTTTCTAGATCTATCATCTATATATCCTCATTGCATAAACAATTAGATGAGGTATTTGAAGCATGTCGGGAAGTGTTTTCTAGACCCATCTGATTGTTAGATAATAAGCACTCACGTGGTGTGTCATGTGATCTTGAATATTTTGTTGTCGTTTGAGAGTTAGTCGTGGCTACAAAACAAGGATTAAATGTTAGTAAGTCAGGTTGTTAGCCGGTTCAGTTGTTGTGGGCGTCAAGTAGTGGTAGTTTACATGATGAAGGTTTGTTAGATCAGTTGGCTATTCTTCAGAGTTGTGAGAGTGGGCTATATATAAAGCAGTTTCATGATTGAATTTTCTCAATTTCAAATTTTGAGCAACCAGAGTGAAAGTAGGAAGGGTATTTTTGTCTTCACAATTAGCTATTTATTTTGTACAAAAATATATCATCACTAAGATTTGAACGATGGTCTTTCTAAATAAGGACAAGAAACATAACCAATTACACTAAACAAATACGTTGTATAATTTTTTATTACAAAACATACACAAAGTTAAAATCAGAAAAACAGATGACTTTGCATAACGATAAGCTAGCTCACTAAATCTCTTGTAAGTATCTTTATGGTGCTTGATACTTCAATTTTCATATTTGATTATTTTACTTTTAGACTATCTTTCAATCTATAAAATATATGAAGAAGACCCATGGGTTAAATTTTCTCAATTTCAAATATCCAGCAACCATAGTGATTTTTAGAAGGAAAAAATTTCATTTACCACACTTTAATTGGAATGCTTCGTTTAGACATTTATGTTGGGCTTTAAATCTATCGCACTAATCTTAGTGTTTCTGCTAGGCTTTAAATTCATTGGGTTCTATATCAGTTTCTAATTTATTTTTTGTTTGATTGTTATGCTACTGGAGGGACACAAACTCTCCCAGCCTCTAAACCTGGATAAGAGAAAACAAAGAAGCGGAAATCTCGTAGCCATAACTCCGTCATCAACTCGACCGTTCTTGGCACCTCTCCATGGAGCCTTCGACAAATTTCCTGCTAGAAAAATCTAATCAAGGAACAACATAAAAGTCCAATAAGTCTCACGGAGCCATGTTTCACTTTGCAACCACACCTGCTTATGAGATTCGGAGATCCCAAGAGCTCCTACTGAAAAAATTACCAACTCTGCTAACAATACTCCTCGACAAACAACATTCAAAAATAATGATCCCAGGTCTCACTATTTGCATGTCATAAAATTCATCTATCTTCATTTAATTTACCCCACCCCACCCCATCAACTTTACCTTGACTACTATCGCATCCATGGCCACAATCCATGTTATGATATTCCAACGAGGCACATAGAATTTACTCTAGAGAAAAGCATACCAGTGTTGTTTTCTCTTCACAAGACGTATCGTATCCCAGACTACGCTCACTGAGTAGTTGGGAATCAATTTCAAATTCCAAAAGCCTTCATCACCCTGCTTCCTCATAAACGGTTGCACAGTTGATCGAAGCTTCAGAATTCGTCTCCACGCCCAATCTTCTCTATTTTCACTTGTCAAACAACAAAAGAATGGTGCTTTACATAAATCCCATCATCAAGCCAAGCTACATATGAATGAAAAAGTAAGTTATCATTATTCTAATAAAATTCACAATCTTGAAGATTCCAATATCATTTTCCCAATCATAGAACAATTTATCGAACGAACATGTATTTTTAACAACAATAGTTATTTTTAACAATTATTATATTAGTTTGATTCGGGCCTAATTGCACATGTTTTGCCCCCGTTTTACCTAGATGTTTGTGCCAAATTCGCTCCTTAAAGGTTGGTTTTACTTTAGGTTCTTCGTCTTTGAGTGTGTTTCAGGATTTAACAGATGAAACCGGCCTCGGAGTCGAAAGATTGGCGAAAAGTATCGAAAACTGGGAGAAGAGGTGAAAAAGAGCCAGTTCACGGCTAACTGAAGGAGTTCACGGTCATGCAAGACCATGAAGAAGGGGAGTTGACCGTGAATCGCGAGACGTCCTAAGCCAATGTGAAGGTTACTGACGCAAGGTGAGTTCACGGTCACTAAGACCGTGAACACAGGCAGTTGACCGTGAATAGACGTGAGCGATGCGGCGCGTTTTGGCGCACGCCTTGAGTTCACAGACACGTTTGATGGTTAACGGCCGTGAACTCAGCTCATCTCGGGTTTAAAAGATGAGCTGAAAGGAGGAGAGAGGGGAGAGCCCACTTTTGTGTGAAACACCTTCTTCGGCATTCTAGTGAGAGAAACAGAACCAAAGGGAAGAAGAAGGTTAGGGTTTGGCTTCAAGGCAGATTTTGGGAAGATTTCCCCCAAGGAAAGCTCAACTCAAGGGTCAAGAAGAGAGGGAGCATCCTCAAAGATGGATTCCACCTTTTTCCCTTTTGTAATTTTGTTCTTCCCACTTCTAGCATGGAGTAGATCTCCTTTCACTTGGGTGTAGTGAAACCCTAACTCGACCATGTAGTTTTCTTGCATGTGTTTTGGATGATTGTCATTAAGTATTGTTCAATTCAATGATTGAAGCATTATTCACCGTGATTGTGCATGCTTATGCTTAGCAACTTAGGGGTTGTGCATGTTTTGTGCTGAGCATCCTTAGGTTTTTGCATTTAGGTGCTTAGCAAACTAAGGATTGTGCATAATTGTGCTTAGAACCCCCTAGGTTTGTGAATTTAGGTGCTAGTAATATAATCTGCCACCTTAACCTAGTTTAGGGAGGAAAATCCCCCTTTCAAGGGAGACTCAATCGAGTTGGTTTTCCTTCCGCTTTCTAAGCCACCTAAACTAGGTTAAGTTAGGGCGACCCTCAATATTGAGTTAAGCAAGTCGATTAATCGTGACTAAACCGTCCGACCTTAGAGTTGAGTGAGGGAGTAAGTCAAATTACCGATTGTCTAAACCGAGAGGGTTGAGTGACACGTCCTTTCATCCTTACCTCGGTTTAGCAATTAAGATGTGGTATGCATCCCTCTGCGGTTTGTGATTATCGTGTCCAATATTGCACTAGATTAGAGTTTAAAAACTTGGGCTCTAATTGGGGTTTTATTGTGGTGTAGTTTCGTGTGAGTCAAGTTTTTGGCGCCGTTGCCGGGGACGACGGTCTGTTATTCTGGGGGGGAAATTTGGTTGTTAATCTAGCTTTTAATTTCCAGTTTTGCAAGTGTGTGTTTTTTGCTTGTGCTAGACTTGGTATTTTCCGATTGTGTGTAGGTGGTGCATGACCCGGAGCAACCCGGCACCCTTGCTACCACTTGACGAGGACATAAACCGAACTCTCTGACTCCTAGAAAGGGAGAGAGAGCTAGCCGAGGCAAGGAGAAGGAGTGAAAGAGGGGGACAACAATTGAGTCGCGGTGTTAGTGGAGAAGGAGTTGAAGAAGTCGAAGTTGAACTCGTCGTTGAAGAGGTATTGGCGGGGAACCAAAGACAAGAGGGAGGCGCTCAAGCCCGCCATATGAATAAGGCGGCGGGGGAAGAAGGAGCCCCGAGGATGATGGGGTACTATATGGCCCCAAGGCCGGCGGACATTCAATCGTCGATCCTACATCCTCCGGTGGCGGCAAACAATTTCGAGATCAAGCCTGCTCTAGTTACTATGATACAAAGTAATGCTCTATTCCACGGCCATGAAAGCGAGTCACCGAGAGAGCACGTGCATAGAATCTTGGAGCTCGCGGGGAGCTTGAAAATTAATGGTGTGTTGGCTGAAACTTTGCAACTAAGGGTTTTCCCATACTCACTCTCGGGGAAGGCACTTAGGTGGCTAAATAACCGCCCACCTCGGTCTATCACCTCATGGGACGAACTCCTCAATAAGTTTATGGCTCGTTATTGCCCGCCTTCGAAGACGGCAGAGTGGAGAAAGAAGATTACACATTTCGAGCAAGAAGAGGACAAGAGCTTGAGGGATGCTTGGGAGAGGTACTCCGATTACTTTCTTCAGTACCCTCACCACGGGTTTGAAAAACAGTTTCGGATTGAAACCTTCTACGGAGGTCTAATGCAAGAAGATAAGTGTAACATTCCATTTCGGCTAAATCCATATTTCGATCGCTAGAAAGTTGGCGATTTAAAATCCAGCGTTTTGATAGTATTTCGGAAAAAATCGGATAATCAATCGATCAGATAAGTATACGTATTAATTATATATATATATATATATATATATATAATTAGTAGGAGGTCATAGACCACCTATATAATTCTTCCTTTCCCCTCCATTTCTTCTTCTTTCATTTCCGGTTGAGGGAACCAGAGAAGCAGAGCCGCGCACGAAGCTCCTTGGAAAATTTTCACAGCTCGATTCTTGTACTTTAGCAATCCAAAAATCCCGTAAGTAATACCTAATTCATCTATACATCGTGATTTATCGATTTAGAGCTTTAAAACGAGTTTTCGGTTCAGGAATTTCTTGAATTCCCGATAAGCCAAATTAGGATTTCGGAGTACCCGGAAGCCGATTGAGCCCAAATTTCATATACGAGCTTCCTGCAGCGAGGTAATCAATCCCCTAGTTCTAAAACCTGAATTTCGGCAATTATTTAGGTCGGGGTCCAAATTTCTTAATTTAGCTTCGACCAGGGTTTGATGTGTTTTTATCGAGAATTTTATCCGGAGCCTAGAACTAATATTGACGGGGATACTGCAGGGGATATTAGGACGGTCTCGGATTTTAATTCGAGGTTTGTTCGTGAAATTGACGTTTTAGTACTAGAGGCTAGAACCGGTGTTTGAACGACCAGAACTGGTGAGGGATTAGCACGGCATACCGGGTTTGTCGTATCACGATAATTATTTTGATGCTTAGAATTGACCTAGGTGAACTAGAATGGCATGATTAAGGGTGTATGAACTTTTGTGCTATATGATGAACCATGGACTACTGTATGATATTATTGACTTTCCCTAATCGAGATGGACCTTGTTTATGTTGTTGATTTCGAATATGTTGCAAATTGTGGGCTTGACTGTTGATATATCCTTATTATGGTTCGAAAAGGTGATTAGGTATGATTTTTCATGATTGTTGTATTTAAATGCACATGTGGGATAATATATATTCCCTGGTGATATTATGACATTTAAGGAGGATGACTTGCAAAAGGGTTTATCCCGAGGAAGTGCAATTATACGACTCCTGATTTACCTATGTTGAGTCAATTGTGGCAAGGTGAAGTACATGTGCAAGTAGCGAATTATGATTAAGCAAGATGAGATATGGATCATGGATAAGGATACCAAGTAAGAGTACTTTGGTCTCATGGTCAATTACATAGTAATTAGGGCTCCACATGCTATTACTCTGTTATGATATGTTATGTCACACCCCTGATGTGGTGTTGACCGTTGATTCATCATGAGATATGACCACACCCAGAGTGGTGTCAAGTCCGATATGACTACACCGACAGTGGTGGGTCCGATATGACCACATCCACGAGATGTTTGGTCCGTATTCCCGGGAGAGTAATTAGCATGGGAGTAGCCAGGCGCCTATGATTAAAACATGATAAGATGCATATGCATAAGTCAAGGTGGTTGAGTCTTTTGCCTATTGGGATATGAGGATGGCCGAGGTCCGATCCTAGTGTTTTGGCTTGATTGTTAGATGTATGATAGGGGTATGCTCTGTTATGAACCCACGATGCTATGATTATCTCACTCAGCTATGAGCTTGCCCTCTTTTATTCTTCTTCTCTGCTTATGCTATGTATAAGCAGATCATTAGCAGCAGCAGTAGATAAGTGTTAGGTGGGAGAGGAGCTAGAGTTGAAGCTAGGATGAGGTATGGTCTTCAACTATTCTGTGCTTGGACGACTACTCGGGATTTTGGCCAGTGATCCACACCTTTTTGTAAAAATGCTTTGAGAACGTTTTTCATGTGCATACTAGCTTCTGATGTAGTGTGAGATATCCACAGGTGTGGAAAGTTGATGATATGTGTATATGTTGTGTAACTGTATAAGTTGTGACGATTATGGTATGTATAAGTATGGTATGCAGTTGTGGAGTATGAAAAGTGTGACTATGGCTAAGAAAAGCCAATGCATATAGTTGTGTGTATATATGTTTGTGATGAATTATTTTGCAGGATAAGTTGCAAGAACTGTTAGCCCATTACGCGAGTAATTCATGTTAAAATTTTATCTCGGTAAATTTTGATAATTAATGTAACACCCGAGAATAATTCCGCTGCAATTGTATGAACAATATGATTAGGTAAAACATATAGGGTAGGGTGTTACAATAAGATCCTCATTGACTCCTTGTGTCAGGGGAAGTTGATGAATATGGCTCCGCCCCAAATAACCGAGATCCTTGAAGATATGGCCCTTAGGGTGTATGATTGGGGGTTGACTAGAAGTGGAAGAAAAGCAATGATATGGGAGTGAGAAGCGTGGGAGCGAGTGCTCCGATTGAGGCAAAGTTCGATAAAAGGCAAGGAAAACGGGCGATAATTTCGTGTGACTGGTGCTCGAGTACTAGCCACGAGATGGCGGAGTGCCAAGCAATGAAGGAGGCAACCACTCCAGGGGAGCAAGTCAACTTCGTGGCAAATGCTAGGGTCAACAACCCGTATAACAATACTTATAACCCCGGATGGAGGAACTGCCCCAACTTTCCTTGGCCATCACTGGCTAATCCGTGGCCCCCGGGTTTTCAAGGCCCCACGATGAACTTCCAACCTCGGCCAACCTTCATCCAACAAAGGCCCTAACTCCAAGGCTCAAACTTCCAACAACCTTAACAATCACAAGGTGCCCTAGGGTTTCAACAACAACATCAACCCGACAAGTTATCCAAGCTTGAGGACCTAGTGAACACCTTTGTGAGTACGAGTAGCCAAAAGTTTGAGAAGATAGAGCAATTTATGGATGTGGAGACTACCAAGTTTACCTCGGCTGAGGCGGGTCTTCAAAGCCATCAAGCGAGCCTCCAAAGTTTGGAGGTGCAAATAGGTAATCTTGCCGGCATCCTCACTGAGAGACCCAAGGGAGCCTTGCCTTCCCAAACCGTAGCGAATCCCAATCAAGCCGGGGTGAATGCACTTCAAGTGAGGAGTGTGAAGGTGGTTCCGGAAGTCGCCACTAATGAAGTGGTGGGGAACGAGGATTCTAACAAGGAAGAAACTATCCCGACAAAAGGAGAGAAGAAGCCCTTGAGGAATGAGAGGAAGGCGGCAAGGAATGCATTTCCGGAGGATGGATATGTGCCACCTCTTCCTTATCCCACAAGGATGTACAATGAGAGGTTGGAGAATGAGTGTGGAGGGTTCATAGAAATGCTCCGCAACATCCCGTTCTCGAAGCCATGGCTCAAATTCCAAGATATGCTAAGTAACTCAAAGGATTCCTCATCAAGAAGCCAAGGCTTGAAGGCCTCGCCAACGTGACTCTAGGCGAGGAGTGCTCGGCTTTCCTCCTCGACCGCTTGCCCAAAAAAGCGGTCTGACCCAGATAGCTTTACTATCCCTCTTGATATTGGTGATCACCATATAGACAATGCGTTGGCGGACCTAGGAGCTAGTGTGAATGTGATGCCCTACAAGCTTTTCAAAATATTAGAAGTAGGTGAACTTAAGACCTCTAAGCTTAGCATCACCTTAGCCAACCGTTCGGTCATTAGCTCGAGATATAGTGGAGGACATGATGGTGAGAGTGGGCAAGTTTTGCTATCCGACCGATTTCACGATTCTCAACATAAGTGAGGACTCGAATATGCCCCTCATCCTCGGTCGTCCTTTCTTGCAACCGCCAAGGCATTGATAGACGTTAATGAGGGGACCCTAATTTTGAGGAATGGTAAGGAGGGAATCAAGCTTGAAATTGATCCGAGGGTTATGAGTGATGAAGTAAAGGGGGTAGTTTCAAATTATGTGAATGAGAAAGGAGGAGAGCCTCTCAAGGCAAAGCCCACCGTCACTTGTGTTGTCTTTGATGATGTTGAGCAGGAAGTTAAGAAGGGTCCTAAGCCCAAAGGACCAAGATTGAATTTTGGAGAAGAAGGATGAAGGGAGCTTTGACCCGGAAGATGGGAGAAGTCGAAGCAATGTTGGCCAACCAAGAGGGCCAACTCAAGGAACCTAAGATGGGAGGCTACAAGCCTCGCCCCGAGAGTGTGGTGGATCCGCTCTCGGTGGCATCACGTTTGAAGTCGTGATTGATCCCCAATCGGCAAGCTAATGACGATAAACAAGCGCTTGTTGGGAGGCAACCCAATGGAGGTTTGTTTTTTTTCCCCTTAGTTTTCGTTTTAGTGTCTTGTGAAGGGTTTGAGTGGTGAAGTGGTGTCTCCGTGTAGGGTGTTATAGTTTTGCGGCTTGTGCTTGTGTTGTGATCGATTAGGAGGCACGAAGGAATAGGTTGTGTCAAAATTTTTGCAGAAGTGCCCTGTTTTCACTTGAGTTCACGGACGAATTGTTGAGTTCATGGTCGCTAAGACCGTGAACAGGAAAACGCGTCCGCGAACTGGGAGCTGATGCATGTTCACCACCTGTCAACCACTCTGTGTTCACGGATGCATTTGCGAGTTTCAGTCACTAAGACCGTGAATTGGGCAACTCGTTCGTGAACTCAGAGTCGTGCCTATAAAAGCGGCGTGAACGGCGACTCTTCACTTCACGACCAAATTCTCGCCGGAAAATTCAAATATTCGCTGGAAAACGCAACCACCCATTGCCTTTTCGATCTTTCCCCCATTTCCGGCAAGAAAACCCAAAACCAACGTCATACCCAGCCTCTTCTCCTCAAAACTGGCCCGTGCTGAGATTTTGGGGAGATTTGGAGCATATTTTTTCCGGCCAAGTCACCGGCGGCGAGTCTTCGGCGAGCTTCCGACGAAGCTCCGGGGACCCCTCTCCGGTCATTTTTCCGACCGTTTTTTCATCGTCCTCGCCCACACCTCACTTCCTCCTACGTCCCACTTGTGTCTCCAGGTTTGTTTTTACTCTACCTTTGTGAATTGTGGAGAATCATATTAGGTAGTGAAGTGCGGTTGAATTTTTGTGCTTTGCATTATTGAACCTAGATTTAGGGTGAGGACTTACGTGAAATAGGTCGTGTGATTGATGGATTGATTATTGCATGAGCTTAGTGAGCCTTGGTGGGCGTGTTTGAATCAAATTGTGCTTATTTTTAGAAATTGCCCACCAAGTGCTATGTTATGAATGCAAGTGGAGTTTTTTGATTGGTGTATGGTAGCCACCGTGGTGGGAGTTGTGGTTCAACTTTTTGTGTGCTTGAACCGTGAAATACCCACAATCTCACCACGGTGGTTTAAGCTTCAATGTTTTAACCATGGTGGAAAAACAAGTGTGGGGGAATCGCTTTTCCTCCCAATGAGCGGTATATGACGATTATTTCCACGTATGGTGTGTGTTTGTGTTTGTGCAGGATGCTTAACTTGGAGCATGATTTCATCAGTTATTTGGTGAACCACCCGGAGTTTGGCGACAAGTTCGCCTACCAGAGTGACAGCCCGATTGGGCCTCACTGGCGGCTGGACCTGGACATGTTTAACTTGTTCAGGTGTTGAGCCGCCATGACTGGGGTACTCTACCATCCCCAGTAGCGCCAGCTCTTGACCATGGACGAGGAGATCTTCCATGAGCTGTGTGTGGAGTTCTACTCCACCTTCTCCCACATCATCCTGGCCAGCAAGAAGAGCCAGCCCCGGGTGGAGTTTATGCTTGGCGGTCAGCCGCGAGTGCTGACCTATGATGGCTTCGCTCAGGCCATGGGACTCGACACCGCTCACATGACGATGACGGAGCGGCAGTACATGGTCGACTTCAACTATCAGGGCGCATTCAGTGCCCTCTGCCGCCCAGAGCATGAGCAAAGTGAGTTCAAGTGGAGACACACCAATACGGTGAAGCTGAAGACCCAGTGGAGGATTATCCACACTCTGATCACCAGATCCGTCGTCCCTAGCCTCCAGTCAGGCCACTTGATGACGAACAGAGGGCTCATTGCCCTGCACTCGATAAGGATTCTTGCCGAGTCGATGGCTCGCTATGACAGAACACCTAACAATGGCCAAGTGTAACCAATGGAAGGGACTGCAGTATAGTGGCTCAAGCAATAAATATCGAATCCACAGGTCTCTAGAGTTACTATTACTCAGCTTCAGTTTATTATCTAGCAGACCAGATTAAGATGGAAGAACTAAAACTACTCTAACAAACTACAGTTAAAGTTAATCTAATTACAGGTTGGGAACTCACTTAGGTATGATTCCCCCTAGCCACTAGTCAGATTAATGATTGATGATCTCTAACCTGTTTCACTTTCATTCACAATGTGGGGAATCCTTGACTATACCTTGAGTCTCGACTAAAGGAACGAGGCCCTCTTGAGTCAATTGCCTAGAGGGACGTATCCTTCTCTAGAACAACCGATCAAGGCGTTCTGAACTAGACTTCCTCTATCGAATGGGGTTCTCAATCGATACAAAGTAGTGAATCAACCCTCGACTAAAGCAATCGATCCACTACTATCAATCTATGGTGCTCTATTGACCTAATCAGGTATTCGCTCTCATAGGATTAAAGCAGAATCAACAATCTCGACTAAAGTAGAATTGAATCATGAAAACATGCATAGATTGAATATGAACTCAAGATTATCAAGTAAGAGTACTCATACAATCATCCAATCAAACAAACATAGCTAGGGTTCCTCAAAACCTAAGTGAAGGGAAGTTACTCCATAGAGAAGAGAGAGACTGCAGTAAGAATCATCAGATGATCAGTCTTCAAGTCCGGGCTTGTTCCTCGAGCTTCCAAGGCGAAGAAATCCTCCAATTACCCTCCAAGAATGCCCTCAAATCGCCCTCTCTCTCTCTTTGGTTCGTCCCTTGGGTGTTTGGGATCCAAAACCCAGCTCCCCCTTGCAGAAACGCACAAAACAGGCTTTTAACAGCCTGCGTTCGCGATCCTCGGTCAGAATACCCGGTCGGGTATTTTGGATGGCGACCGGGGATTGTTGAAACGCACCATCGGGGACAGGGGGTTAATCCCCGGTCAGGGTCAAGAATACCCGATCGGGGAATTTTGCTCAATGCCCGGGCCCCCTTCTGCTTCTCAAACGACCAAAAAAAAAGTTTTCTTCGGTCTGCTCATAATAATACTCGGCCGGGTATTTTTGCCCATGGCCTGGTATTTTGCTCCTCCGGCACAGTTCAACTCAAACGTGCTCCTTTCGACCCGAAACTCGTTTCTTTGCTTCGATGCCAACGCCAAGCCCTGAAATATGACATAAACACACAACCTAGCGTGAAATCGGCTTAAAACACAAGAATCAACATATCAAACGGCTCAAGAATAGGGGTAAAACATGTGCAATCAATGGTCTATCAATCGATCCATCTGGGATCGTTGATCGCCACCTCTTTCGCCCGGTTCTTGGGGCGGAATAGAGTGCACACTATGCATATGGGGGGCATCATCACGAGGATCGCCCGCCGCTTCCAAGTGGATCTCGCCTGCTGCATGATTCGGGCCTAATTGTACACTTTTTATGCCCGTTTCTCTTTGACGTTTGTTGCAATTGAGCTCCAAAAAGGGGTGGTTTTATGCTAGGCTTCTTGTGTTTTAGCGTGTTTCAGGATCCAACAGGTGAAACCAACTCCGGAGTCGAAATTTGGAAGAAAAGGAGGAAAAAGGAGGAAAGAGTATGTGTTCAAGGTCTGTCATTGGAGTTCAAGGTCTTACAGGACCGTGAACTGGAGCCAAAATCCGTGAACCGTGAAGCGTCCAGGGCAAATCCGAAGGTTACTTACGCCGAGTGAGTTCACGGTCGCTAAGACCGTGAATTCTTAGCACAAACCGTGAACCGTGTATGTGAAGCGGTGCGTTTTGGTCTCAACACTGAGTTCGCGGACGCATTTCAATATTCACGGCCGTGAACTGAGGTCTAAGACCGTGAACTACTCAACGCGTCCTTGAACTAAGGCCGTGAACTGATCAACGCGTCCTTGAACTCAGCTCTAAGACCTTGAAATGAGCCTGATTTGGGTATAAAAGGATGGGGGAGCTGAAAGAGAAGGGAGAGTTGGTTTTTGGAGAAGGAACACTTTCTTTCTCTAGGGTTTCAACCTAAACACCAAAGGGGAGCTCTAGTGAGAGAGAGAGAGAGAGAGAGAGAGAGAGAGAGAGAGTGTGTGTGTTAGAGTGATCTTGGAGCATCATTGGAGACTTGGGTGGAGAGTCAAGCCTAGAAGAAGAAGAAGATCTTGAGCTCAAATTTGTAATCCCTCTCTCTCTCTCTCTCTCTCTAGAAACTCACTCTTTTCTCTTGGGTGTTGTAGATACCTAACTAATACTTTGTAATTACTTGTTTAGATTGAATGATTGTCATTGGGTATTGTTTAATTCAATGATTGAGGTATTATTCATGTCGATTGTGCATGCTTGTTCTTAGCAATCTAAGGGTTGTGCATGTTTTGTGCTTGGGTTTGTGCATTTTGGTGCTTAGCAACCTAAGGATTGTGCATAATTGTGCTTAGCATCCTTAGGTTTGTGCATGTTGGTGTTTGGCAATCTAATTAGCCATTTTAACCTAGTTAGAGAGGAAAATACCCTTTTCAAGGGAGACCCAATCGAGTTAGTTTTCCTTTAGCTTTTTAAGTCACCTAACTAGGTTAATTTAGGGCAAACCTCGATGTTGAATTAAGCAAATTGGTTAAGCGTGATTAAGTCGTCCGACCCTTGAGTTGAGTGAAGGAGTAAGTCAACTACCGATTGCCTAAACCGAGAGGGTCGAGTGACATGGCCTATAATGCTTACCTCTGTTTAGCAATTGAGATTGTGGTCTACGACCATATATGCATCCCTATAAGGTTCGTGGTTACCTATCCCATTGCAATCGTTCCAATCCAACGAGTCTTGGTAGCTAGTTAGGGGGAAGCAACTCCTGGGTGAAGCTCCCTTAGTTAGAACTTTCCTTCATTTACTTTTCCTTGCTTGTTTAGTTTGTAGTTCCATTAGACCTAAACCCCAAAACTGTTTTGCTAGATAACAACTTAAGCAATTGAAGTAGGGGTGCATGGTCTGGCCAGGGTTGTCAATTTAAATACTTTCTCTATACTGCACCCGACTAGAGTTTAAAAACTTAGACTCTAGTCGGGATTAATTTGTGGTGTAGTTTCGTGCGAGTCAAGTTTTTGGTGCCATAGCCGAGGAACCGCGATCCATTATTTTGAAAAGGTCGCTTAGTGTTACTCTAGCATTTTCTATCTTGCCTTTTTGTTTGTGTTTTGTGTTGTGTTTTGTTTATCCACTCTTCGTTTGAAGGTTGGTTTGTGTTTGTTTGTTTGATTTTCTTTTTGTGTTTTTGTTTGTGTAGGTTATGAATCATGGATCCCAATGTCTTCTACAATAGGTGGGGGTATCCACAACCACCAGAATGGGGGTACCCCGGAGCTTCATGGAGTGAACAAGAAAGGGGAAACCAAGGATATGGATTCTATTACCAACCCCCCCCCCCTCCCCTTCCAAGACGAACAACCATACCATTGGGATATGAAGAGGCTTCCCCATATCAATAATATTTTTCCTCCTACCATTGGAATAAAGAGAGGAGGTCGAAGAGGCAAGCCATGAGACCTTTGGAAGAATGAGCTCCGACATGGATTTCCAACCCCTCCCTCCTCCCGGTTTGACACTAGAGGAGAAAGTGGCACAAGCTTGTGAAAGCTATCGCCTCCCACTATTCGAGGACAAAGAGGAGGTTGAAGGAGCGATCAATGAAAACCGTATGGAGCAAGAGGAACTCACCTCGGAGAGCTCCCGTGATGAGGATGAACAAGAAGGTTGCATTGACAAATCCCATCATCTTTCCCTTCCCGAAAGCAACATTGAAGACCAAGACACGAGTGTGGAGGAGCAAGAGAATCCTTACTATGACCTTGTATTGCATCTTGCCTTCAAATTCATGCTTGGAGACATGAATGTGATGGAGAAAGAAGAGGCTGAAGAGGAGGAAGTGAGCATTGAAGAGGGGGAAGATCTCGAGTGTTCCCAAGGGGAGGAAATTGAAGAAGAAGGAAGGGAGGTTGAAGATGAAGTAAAAGGAGCAAGTGAGGTCCAAGATGAAGACGAGGTCGTGGTGGATGAAGCTTCAACGAGTTACAAGTGCGACCCAAGCTTTCCACCCGACCTCGATGCACTTTTGGAGAAGGACCCATTTGCGGCTCTTTGCCAAGCGAAGGCCAAACCATCGGCGATCCCTCTTGGTGGATGCGATGGTGGTAAATCGATGATGCATTACATGGTATGGGGCAAATAGAAGAAGGAAGAAGGAAAGAAGGAGAGGTCTCATGGGTGGAGCCTCAAAGCCACTCAAGTTCACGAGCCCTCAATCATGGATTCGTCCAATGCTCGTGACTTAAGGCATCACCTCACCGACGAGAACCTCAACTTCAAGGAGGTTCATGGGTGGACCGAAATTTGAAGAGAAACCGTCCGGCTCATGATGTTAAAGAAGAGTTTGGTGGGAAGCAACCCAACCATCAATGGTTTGCATCTCTTTTCCTTTCAATAAGACGACCAATGAAGAGATTTTGGTGGTGTTTTGCCCTCTCCTTGCTCTTCCAGATCTCACCCGACCACCAACATTCACATCGTATCCGGTAACATCGTTCTACCCCTTATTTTACGCCATTGAGGGCAATGTCGAGCTTAAGTGTGGGGGGGGGGGGGGTAGTCCATTATGCATGTGCGTGTGAATGATTGGTGTGATTTTCAATACTTGGAGCCTTGATGTATGCCCAAATTGAAACAAATTTGAGGGCTCCAAGCAATGCTTGCTCAAAATGGTCGGTTAGATCATGAATCTCGTGCTTATTTGGCATCGTTCTTGAATTGTTGCATATAGTTGAGTGCATCTTATTAAGATGACTGAGAGTGCATTAGGATTGTGCGAAGGCTTAGTTCTCATGTGTGCTTAAATGAATGGGATGTCTTGACTTGGTTACTCTTCGATTACAATCTCCATGCGTCGAGTTTGTGAATGTGTAATAGACGATTGGGCGGCTAGGAAGCCTGTGAGTTTTGAGCCGATCATTCTCTTCTGGTGTGATAGTTCCCTCTCACCATGGTGTGATAGTTCCCTCTCACAATGGTGTGTAGCATCACAATTTTCATTAGCGATTAGGATGGAGGCATAGGATTAGTCCACGCCCAAATGTTGATTGTCCC